AAAGAAGTGCAAAACATTTAAAAAATCAGCTTGGTTTTTTTTCTTCCTTTTTTCTTGTCCTCCTGGAGTTAGTTCTCCACCGGGGTCGGTTCCTGGGGCAGAGGAACCGCTCCCTCCACGGCCGCCGGTCCAGATGCCTCCTGCATGTGTCCTTTTGCCGTGACTGGCTCTGGTGACGCTGGTGGTTGGCTGAGAATGACCTGCACCACGTAGTCCCTGGAGATGTTGAGTTGGTCCAAGCGCAGTCTGTCGGTCAGCGGTCGACCTGAGAAAAACCACCGCTGCGTCGGGGCAGGAACTCCCTCCTGACTCTGCAGCCGGCGCTTCATCATGCCCACTGTGTCCGTGGAGCGCACCGGGAGGCGCAAGTCGCGGCCGGTGGAGAGCCGCAGCCGGAGCTGGCGTTCTCCCACCGAGCCGGACTCGCCGGTGCCGCCCGTGGACGGGTCCGCGGCCCCGGAGTCGGGATCGGAGCAGTCCAGATCATCAGAGCGCTCCTCGATCATGTTGACGGGAGGAGAGAGGCAGTAAACTGGCAACTGGTACCGATTCCCCAGTTCATCGTAACATTCAGTCAGAGCTCCTGGAAGAAGGAGAGAGAACACGTCAACTCTTTCTAGATCTTTCTAGAACTGTCGAAAAGATGAATCACAGATTCATTCATTAATCAAACACAATCAATCAACTTTCAGAAGTCAGTATCATCCATCTCCTGTTTGAACCTTGGGCTCATGACGTCCGCCAGGAAGTGAACTCTGAACTCAGCACTGCCCCTAGAGGATATATTGCTTAACAACCATGCCAGGCGATCATGTTCCTGAGAACCGACAGCAGCGTCCGCCACAGGAGAGATGTTTGAGTTTAAATGTAAATGTGAAAATATGAATTTTCTGCGTGCGTACCACTGGTGGAACACGTACCACAGTTTGAGAACCACAGTTACATTCAGAGCAGATAAGAACATGTATATTTAATTTTTTTTTTTAAATAAAAGAGTTAACTACAGACAATGATGCGATAAATCGGAATAAAATATTGGATTAGACACCATTTAAAGTCACAGTCGACATATCTGGAAATGAAATGTGACAATTGACCTATTTTCAACTTCCTCTCGTGGTAAAGTTCAAACACATCATATTTCCCTCTAACTCAGGCCAACGTCTGCCGCACTGGAACAAAATGGAGAATTGAAACTGGACCGAAAACAAAGGGAAGGACTCGAAGGTGGAAGCAGGACGTGGAGGGAATGCTGTCTGTGTGTGTGTGTGTGTGTGTGTGTGTGTGTGTCAGCGATTCATCAACGGTGATTCAGACTCAAAGTTAGCAGTTGGTGCAGAGAGACAGGGAACCGCTCCGTGGTTTAGAGGTCAAGTTATTCCACGAGCAGAAACTCAACACTGTGGTCTTTGTCTGGGGGGG